CATTTACTCGCTGACCATCTCAATCACACGACCAGTTACCAGTGCTGTGAGATCCAGTGAGACGCATTCGCTTTCGGTGCAGCAGAGTTGTCCCATACAAACCACAAATCAAACTTTCTGAACAATACTGACACGGAAAACAGGAGAAACATTGAGGCAAAAGCTATAGAAGCCTTTTCAATCGACAAGTCGCCAACTTTTACCATGATTTACTGTAGTAACACTAACTGAAACCACGAGATTGTGGCAGAACTGTGGGATATTCATACCAAATTTTATTCAATTATTATTAATGTAGACATTAAATGAGTAATGTAATTCAAAGTCCTTATATAGGCCTACAGAAAGACTGTGCACTACTATTACTATGAATGGGAGAAAGTGCAATGCGAAATATGGCAGAATAAGTCCCGCCTTCTAAAGAAAAGAGCCAATCGGCGATTGGTAAAGTCATCGCATCACTGCAGCTGCCTTTGGAAGCTCCGGTTCCTATACACGAATCCGACGAGCGTTCTGTGTAGGCTGCCATCTTGTGGCGACGCCATTACTGAGCTGTTACCGGTATGTAAACAAACCTCCATGATAACGCACCCTCGATGACAGCTACAGCCAGGCAGAATGACTTGTTGGGTTGATGATGTTAGACAGTGGCCTCCAGTCACAGATGAAGGTACAAACGATCTTACAGATTATTTATGAAAATAGCTTGGCAAGCTAGCTAGGCTAACGTTAGCTAACGAGGAAACTATAAAAAGATCTGTCCATTTGGCAACAATAAATAAATGAATGACATCAAATAAACGAATTCATGTTTTTCATTTGTGTCCATTATTTATCTCATTTTCACATTGCAAAAGGCAAGGGTAAGTAGAAAGTATATATAATATCGACCAATTCGTGTTTTTAAACCATGGAAAGAGGTCAATATAACAGCAGGAGAACAATTATGTCACATAACGTTACATTTAGCTCAGGAAAGCCATTTAATGACCATAGCATGTTAATTGAATAGAAAAAATAGATAGAGAGGAGATTTTGCTGAGCACTATAATACATATGTATTCTATTTTTTTACTTGTCATTAAATAATTGTTATTATAACAAAAACTGCATTATGTTTAATTTAATTTGTTATTTAAAAAAAATTCTGTCACAGTCAAGCAAATCAAACATTAACAACAGACATAACAGTAATGTTACTAACGTTACTGCCCCAATGCGCCCTTTACTGCCGCCATTGAAACAATTTAAAACGGAACATGTTTTCCCACTCGACATTATAAAAGTTGTAACGTTAGTGACAGTTGTAAATCGCGGGCTGTTTATTCCAGTGGACGCAAGTTGCAACTAAAACAATAGGAGGCAATGGCGCAACGCTACCCAGCAACAGCTCAGTTATGGCGCCCGCTTACTTCCGGTAGTTTCGCCGGATTCGTCTATAGAAACGGTCAGTGTTCTCAGATGTGCGCTTAGGACTGCGCATGCAGGTTTTTTTTGTCATGATTTGAGCGTTTAGAAACAAAATCTATGAAGCAGTTGTTGTCAGATTTCATTGGTGATTTCAAATATGAAATTTAATCGTAAGCTTGGCAGTTTTTAAGAATTTGATGTTCCCCATTCAAAGAGATAGAAGCTGCACTTGCATGTCCGAGAGGCGTTTCAAAGTTGGCCGCCGAGTCAAATGACTTGTCTTAAAGGGACTTTGATTTAGGCCTAATTGGCAGTATTTTTTTGTAAATAAGCTATAGCAGTTTGTGTGCATTTGTATTTATAATATATGTCTTTAGGCTACTGTTTTATAAATAGTTGCTTTTTACCATGGTAGTGGTTTTGGGGATGAGTGGTTTTACCTGTGGTCCAAATACTATGGAAGACCAAATTTTACCCTACAAAATTTTGCCCTTTAAAATGAGGTTGGTACAATTTTTACATAATTTTTCCTGTTTTGTTAATGAACATAAATTTGCATCTGCATCCCAACTAAAGCAACTGCTACTGTCAACTCAAGCTACTGTCAAATGTGCCATTTTAAGAGAGAAAATATGTAATATACATTTTTTTTTAAATGTTCACCTGGCTGTTTGGCAAGTGTTTGTCATGTTCTGAATCTTCTGATGATTAAACCCACAATTAACTGTCTGGTTTTTCTACAACTTTTCACTCAGTAGCAAAACTCTGCCTTTAAACTTGAAAGAAATAAAGATTTGACATTTATCGTGATAGTTACGAGATCGACTGATATGAAAAATGTTATCGTCATGATCGCCCAGCCCGACACCAAACTGTGTAATATGTAAATGCTTGAAGAAACGAACTGATAAGAAGAAAGAATAGACCTGCATCTCCTTTTCAGAGAGATTTGAGTTGGTTGGTCTCTGTCTTTGATGTAGTTGTACAGCTGGAAGAAAGGAGTTAAAGAAGTGGACCAAATGACTGAAAGAGCAATCTGTGGGCCAGGCGAAGTGAGGACAGGGTTTTTTTTGTTTGATGTCTGTTGTTGCTTACGGCATGTGTACTTCACGCCTCTGTCACTGTTTAGTTGACGAAGTGCTGTGTTTGTATCAAGTGTATACAACTGTAAATCATGCTAAAGTTGCGTTTACACTTGCCAAATAATTGCAAGACACTTCCTGTGGTCATAGCCGGGGACACAAGTTTGTGAAAAACTGTACAGAAAGGTCAGCTTAAAGGTGTTGTTTTGGACTTAGCATCATTTTGATATGTCTACAGTAAATTTGTCTTGAAATCAGTGGTTTTGAATAGTTTTAAATGGCTCAGATTAGAGAGGATTGATTAAATCTGGCTTCTTAGAGTGACGTATATGGCAATTACTAAACGATATGCATATGTGTGTTCTTAGCAGGAAATATTGATATTTAAATGACGTGACTAGCTAATGCTGAGCATCTGGTATATATCTCTTCAGTACTTTAAAGGTATTTTTCTTTTTGTTTGCTCAATAAAGTTTGATTTTCAAAGTCAAACAACAAGTCATTAGTATATACTTTAGATTCAGGGTTTTTAATTCCAATTAGGAAATAGTTCATTAACAATTTAATGTCAATTTAGTACACATTTTTATAAAAATAACCAAAAAAAATCATTTTAAGTGTATTTTAAATCTTTATATATTATTATTTTTATTTTATTTATTATTAATTAACATATAATAAGGCATCCTGACTTAATGAAATGTGTTTTTAAAAGTTGAACTTTTTCATTTTCACATGATGTGAAAAAATATTTTTTATAAACTTCTACAATTTTTTTTTTATCATTTTATTTTAATAATTTCAATAATATGCCTATAAAAAACTACTGACTTCTAAAGCAGTTTTTTATAATGTTTTTTGTTGTTGTTGTAATATTATCTTCGAATTATCTTCATTTTAGGCTCCTTAATGTTTGGTGCCACACTTTTTAGGAAAATCAACCTATGAATGGCTTATTTATAGTTGCCTTGCCTATAATTTAAAAGGCCTTATGTTATCGTATGCTGACTAGTGAAAAAATAACCCTCAAGCCCAAAATTGCTGCGGTGTTTGCTTTTAGATAGCACCAAATCACATATCGTGCACTGTTTAGTCTCGTAAGACTGCTTGCTTGGTGGATAGCAGCCTGGGCAGAAAGCTGAGATCACGTGATGGAAAATGCCACTTTAAGGACCATTGAAATCTCAAAGTAACAAATTGCTATTACTTCGGCTCATGCTTTAGGTTGGCATCTAAACAAACCTCTAATCACAGGTATTAAACTTTGGCGTGTAACTCAACCTGCAAAGTTTTGCTACAGACTTGAGCGATAGCTATCTGAAATCATGCAGTTTGTTGAGGAGAGGCTATTATGCGATCAGACTTACAGTTTTTACCTGGGTGAGGAAAAAAACCTGCAGACTTCCATTGAATGGCTCTCCTCAAGATTGTAACCCTCTAGCGCATGACATGTAAATAAATAATAATAGTCAGAATATCTTTTTTATGGAACTGTTTATTGAACAAAGGGCAAAGCATATAATGCAATGCAATACACAGATGAAACATGTACAAAATGTTACTCAAAAACCTGATGTATCATATTTGATACTCAGTTTAATGTATGGATAATCAACTAAACCTAAGTTGCTTCATTCCAGTGAGTATTCACCTTGAAATATTACTTACAATATAAAAGTTGTTATTACATTTAGTTTACAAAAAGACAATTATACTAAAAGGCCTTTTACTTGCTAAAAAAGTATTAAACTATCAATCAGACAACAGAAGGCGTGTAATAGATTGTGTGTGTACAACAGGTTTTTCATGTTGCTAATTTAGAGGCCTTCGACCCTTTCGCCTTCCGAAATTTGCGTATCAAATGTGATAAAGTTGGCTTTATAGGGTTAATATTAATCCTTGAGGAGTTTGAAGTGTTATTATTAATAGCATCACCACGAATATCAGAAACCCGCAGTTGCTTGCCGATGGTGACATGGTTCTTAGTAAAGCGGCATGCTGGTAAACCACAGCAGGACGTCCCAACCCTCAGCGCACTCACCATAGCCATTGTGTCTGCAACTAATGACATCATATGTCCTCCCCCCACCCCCTAGAAGTTATTGCCTGCGACGTGAGTGGCACTTGCTGGCACATGCGGACGGGTGCGAGGTGCCAACTGGCAGTCCCCGTGGAGATATCTGGGTGCCAAAATGAAGGGCAGACATTTCCGTTGTTTCCTCTGCTATCCTTTCCCTAGAGAGCGTCACATGTGCCTCTCATTTAGCTCGATGAGTTCATGAAAAACACTGATTATTTAGAGACCGGGAGCCTGGATTGCTGCAGACAGACGGAGTGGATTATCAAGCACGTTTTTTGAAAGGGCAGATTTCTTGGTAGCAAAAATGCAGAGTCATAATTTGTAACGAAAATGTTATTGTCTGTTGCTCCAATATTATTATGATGATTTAACCCAATGAAATGAAACCTTGCCCATCTCTTTGGTCACATCTGAACTTTCGCCACCAGGTTCTCCTTTGCTGCTCTTCGCCAACCGGCGGGATGTTCGTCTGGTGGACGCGGATGCGGGCCGGTCGGAGTCCGCTGTGGTCGTCAGTGAACTTGAGGATGCGGCCGCAGTGGACTTTCTTTTCTCTGAGGGCCTGATATTCTGGACGGATGTCAGTGAGGAGGCCATCAAACAGACCCACTACAACCTCACTACTATCTGTAAGATCAGTGTTTTTTGATTTGGAATTACTGTAAATGCCAATCAACACACTCACACTGACGAAGGCAAAGCGCCGAATAGGGGTGTAACGGTACATGTATTCGTATTGAACCGTTTCGGTTCGAGGCTTCCGGTTCGGTACGCATACAAACCGAACGATTCCTTGGACCATTTTTCCTGCCGACAAAACCGCGCTGGCGCGAACACCACAACGTTGCGCAACATCAAATGGCAAGCGTAATGAAAGCGGAACGAAACTGCGCTATTGTGCTTCACGGATCGTTTATCAGTTCGGAGCAGAGCAGCAACATCTGTGCAGCGCGAGCCGATCTCGATCAAGCGACACTGTTACAACCGTTACAACACAGCGCTAAGATCCAGTGAAGAAAACATTTGAGTTCGCCACTGAAGTAATAACATCGCTGCGAGATCTAGTGAGAAGCATTCACATTTCTCCGTAATTAACCGTAGATCTCTATTAGATCAAACAGCGCTGACGTGGACACCAGGAGAAATATTGTGCCGTGAATGAACTAGTAATACTTTACGTCCACAGATCAGCAACATTCACCATGGATTTAATATACTAACACTAACTGTAACCAGTTTGGCTGGAATAGTGAAATGCTTTCAAGTACTTCACACATCTTTTTCCAGCACTTCAAAACTCAAATATTATATAAATAAATAGCCTATATGAAGAGTTCAGATGCAAAAGCCTCTATAAGTGCCATTTGAAATTTTCTTCTAGAAATTAGAATGATCATTTTTATGAAGCTTGTACATTTAAGTTCAGTAATTTCACTCAAATGACAATTAATAGGCAATCTTCATTGCCATTTAAGTGAAATTACTGAACTTAAAAATACAAGCTTGATAAAAATGATCATTCTAGAAGAAAATTTCAAATGGCTTTTGCATCTAAACTCTTCATATATTTAAATGTTATTTTTAATGTGATGACCAAAACATTATTTGTTCATCCTTCAAAGATGACCCCCATTTATAAACCTGAAAGTTTCAAGATGTAGGAAAACTCACTTATTTAAAAAATATTTTTTCTTTTAACAAATAGGAAATTTCTCTGGCATTTCTTACTTTTTGCTGTATCGAAAACGTACCGAACCGTGACTTTAAAACCGAGGTACGTACCGAACCGTGATTTTTGTGTACCGTTACACCCCTAGCGCCGAAACGTTTGTCAACTTTATCTCCTGTCTGTAATAAAAGAATTTTAGAGTGCAGACCTTTTTTGCATTTCTTTGAACTACTGTAGATGGCAATGTAGATATTGCTGTTTTAGAAAAATTACTCAGCTGTGGGTTTTTATTTCTTTGAGCACAATGCTGTTTTCCATACTACTAGTTATGCACTGATACTACAATTCTGGATGATATCGATAAGCTGATAAATAGAAATGGTTCATATTTTTCTAAAAATAAAATGCATTAAATCAAAAGAGAATAAAGCAATGTTGTGATGCGTAAGCGAATATAGACATCACAACATACACTACTGTTCAAAAGTTTAAGGTCAGTAAGAGTTTTACTGCACAAGCATTTTACTCTTTGGCTCACAAAGGCTGCATTTATGTGTTCAAAAATGCAATAAAAAAAACGGTAATATTGTGAAATAGGTTTTCTTTTTTAATAAATGTTGAAATATAACGTGATGCAAAGCTGAATTTTCAGCATCATTACTCCAGTCTTAAGTGTCACATGATCCTTCAGAAATCAATCTAATTTGATGTTTTTTGGTGCTCTTATTATTATCAAAGTTTTTGCTGCTTCAAGGGGCACTTGGCAACTCTAGTCATTTCTTCGCTGATTTTCACTTTTGTTGTCGCATGTTTTCTCATCGAGCTCCCCCTACAGCTGTGCGGCGTATATTTTCACAACACAGTCATAAAAAACTCACTTGCGACACCTTACTCCCACTTTCTACCGCTGCTCGTGTGCGTTTGTTATGATCGGAGCCGGCCAACTTTATCGTGTGGAGCTATGTCTACCGAGTGGGTAATACAACAGTACACAGTATCATAGAATTATGTCGAATTGCCATAAAGCAGTTCGTGTTTCTCGCTCGTTCTCGCTTTTCACGAGACTTCCTGTTTCCAACTTCCTGGGACGTTAGTCCCCATGTTGCAAGGTTGGTTTTCCGCCTGGGGACGCTGGGGGGAGCGGGGAAAGTCACCATTCTCTCCAGAACAGGTTATTGAACCATTCAAATTTCTAAACGGATTTATTAAGTTGAAATAGTTGCCAAGTGCCCCTTTAATATTTTTGTGGAAAGCATGACACATTTTTTTCAGGATTCTTTGAAAAATAGAAATTTCAAAAGAACAGCTTTTATTTTAAATGGATTTTTTTAAATAACTTTAGAAAAGTCTTTATTGTCTCTGATTAATTTAGTGCATCCTTGCTGAATACAACTATTAATTCCTTTAAAAAAAAAATCCTACCCCAAACTTTCAAATGGAAATGGATGTCTAATAATATTGAAATGTCATTATTATAAAAGTGGTGGGAGCTTGTTGTAGAAAAGCCCTCTTCAAGAAATAGGACTGTTTTGGAGTTAAATATTTGCCATAATCTAGTGCTTTAAGTTAGCAGTAGATGATGACAAAAGTAATGTGAAAAGTAGTTACTAATATACACTACCGTTCAAAAGTTTGGGGTCGGTACGATTTTAAAACTTTTAAAAGAATTCTCTTCTGCTAGTGTCAGTGTCTTCAGTGTCAAATGATCCTTCACAAATCAGTATAATATGAGGATTTGATGCTCAAGAAACATTTATTATTATTATCAATGTTGAAACAGTTGTTGGTCTGTCAGTTGTACATTTTTTTTTTTTTTTTTTTTTAAGGATTCTTTGATGAATAGGAAGTTCAAAAGAACAGCATTTGTTTGAAATAGAATCTTTTGTAACATTATAAATGTCTTTACTGTCCTTGATAAATAAAAGTATTGATTTCTTTCCTCCAAAAAATAAAAATAAAATTCTCACTGACCCCAAACTTTTGAACGGTAGTGTATAAAAATAATATATAATATAAAAAAAACCTGCAATATAATCTCATTCATGGTTCCACATATTCAAAAACGCATGTGATCAGTTTTGAGACAACTGAGAATCAATGCCGCTTGGCATAATTTCTCAGTCAATTAGGACATTATTTGAATATGAATACATTTTTGCTGGCTGCAACCCTGCTATAGCACAGCAAAAATGTTGGATCATTATCTGGAGGCAGAATAAAACATTTGAGGAATGCTTAAACTGATAATACTGTTATGGAACTGAATGGACGCCTTGTTTTTCAGCTATGAAGGAGGCCACACTGGGCAAAGGGCAGACGGTAGTGGTATCAGGTCTGGATTCTCCCGATGGCTTAGCCTGCGACTGGCTCGGACGCAAACTCTACTGGACCGACTCTGAGACGAACCGCATCGAAGTAGCCAACTTGGACGGCACCTCTCGTAAGGTGCTCTTCTGGCAAGATCTTGACCAGCCCAGGGCAATAGCGCTAAACCCTGCTCATAGGTGAGTTCCTTCCTCTCTGGTCTCATTTCCTCTTTCTCAGCCCCATTCTCCATTCAGTGGGTGGTCTTCACACGCGTCCTTCCACCCTTGACCCCCCAGCATTCATTAATATGTGCCCTAGTTGTTTATTTATAGGCCATTAGAACTTCTCCCCTAAAGGGAGATTGGGATGCAACGTAGCGTTCAGGCTGTTTCCTGTTGTTGTGTGGCGTGTAGATCCTGCATGACAAACCTTCACTCTTCTGGTGCCGTTTGTTCGCTCCGAAGTAGATTCCACTTGTGTGTCCACTCTGACTTAGCTGGCGAGTTGGTTTGTTTATATGCAACATGTAACTTGAGTTCTGAGAGATCGCTCTCACTTACATTACTTAAGCCCTGGCTTAGCATGTACGCACGTACTTGGCTTGAGACATGTTCGGTAATGTGAGTCAAGTCTGTGCCATGCCTTATGGTTGGAGGATTGTAAAAATTTTAAGAATATCATCAAATTTCCTTTTTTTTAGGATTTTTTTTTTGGGGGGGGCTAAAACAACACAACGTACATTCACATAACATGTTAACGCAGAGGTCAGGTTATGCTCACGTGAGAGTTATTCACAATCATGAAAGTTTATTATTTGCATGTGTATTACACCTTGCCGGTTAAACATTTTATTTGCACGCTGTTCTGCATGTGCACACTAAAAGCCTGTCAAACAGCATGTTAGTACTAAACCAAGTTATATTTTGCGTACTATTGTGCTTAAAAACTGTCAAATACACACATGGTTTACATAAATGCAGTTGGTTATGTCTTAAGTGAACGTAAACAGTTGTGAACCAGATGTGTGTCTGTATATTGGATCCGTGCATGAGGTCATAAAGTGACAACAGCCTAATAAACATACTGCCGCTTGTCGTTAATGTCAATCAAACAACAAAAGACAGAGAAAATCACTTACTGCTCTTCACTGCATAACTTCAGTAGCTTTATTAAGTAGATTAGTTTGGCTGTACTGCTCAGTCAACTGGAAAATATTAAAACCAACATAAAAAAATAAAATCGTGAAACACGATTTTCCTGAAAAAAATCATATGATACTTTTGCCATATAGCCCACCCCTAAATTAATTACTTTTGGTCTTTATATATTTCTGTCAAGTTGTCACCACGAACATCAGAAACCCGCATTTATGTATGTATATGTATGTAACATAATTTTATTTTAAATAAAAATGTATGTTGGAGATAGATAGAGAGAGAGAGAGACTCTGGGCTGTTTTCTGCCGATTAAATATCGAGGTCATTTTAATCGGGACAGCTCGAGTCTAGGTTAAAAAAGCTAAATGCACTGCTGCTGAACTGTGCTTTTCACAATTTTATCATCCATCTAGTTGTGAGCCCAAGGCTTTTAGCTCATTGTGTATTTATGACACCCAAGAGCTAGGACATTTTTCCCAGAATGCATTTCACTTTGTACGGTGTATGATGAAGACATTAAAAATGGAGCCAGACACTGTTCCTGGCCGTTAGCCTAAAGAAACACCTCCATACCGCTTGCTTTTTATCAAAACATTAGTTGCCTGTTTTGTAAAGTTCATTGCATTTGAAAGAGATTTTCAGAGTGAGAAATCCGTTCTCCCGTTACTTTGCAATCCAAAAAGTTAACGTCTGCCATTTTTGAGCAGACATATTTAAATATAAGCTTCGTGCACTTTTATTTTCTTATTGTCACCTCCCGAGAGCTTTGAGTTGAGATTTACCGTGGAGATCCAAGACCTCTGACAGGGCCCTGCTTCAGATCACTGAAAGGGGGCTCTGCTTTTTACAACCCCCTCAGAGTGAGAGCAACCGCATGCAGGGGCCCCTGAATTATGTTTGTCTGTTCTCAAGACACGTTCATTGTTTTCACATTCTCCAAAAGAGTCTTGGGAGGAGTGAAAAGATGAATTGCCATCAGATGAAAAGAATGGGTGTTTTTTTTTTTATTGCCATGCTAAATTTGCTGACTCTTCTTGAATTTTAAAGTATGACCAAAAAAATAGTTTTTATTGCCAGACAGACATGGCACATCCAAATATCTGACAGAAGTGTTTTATTCGGAGTTATATAGCGATGAGGTACCTGATATTTAACGTTTGGAGTCATTGTTCATCAGTTCATTGGGGGGCTCCAGTTGATGTTCTCTGTTGCGTGGCCAAGCATCAGGTTTATATCTGCGTATAACACAGACAAAATCACAACAAACTCGCTCGCACGCACTCCAGAGATACAGACGCTGGTTGTTTGTCAGAGAGTGTTTCTTTAATGTGATATCTGGTTTTGGTAGCAACAGCACAAAGAGACTCAGTGTTGTTATGGTACTTTACCTTTTCTTCTGCAGAGTAAAATCTCTAGAATTGTGGTTATAAATATGGTAAAATATGTTAATTGGACATTTGAGTACTGCACTCCTTGTGGTAGCTAAACACATTAGCGAATTGGCTTTCTGAGGAGTTCTTATCTGGTTTTAAGCAGGAGTAAAACTAAAAAAAAGTGCTGATAACCATAGTAACATGATCATATTCCTATAGCCGTTACACTAACTTCTGCCGGACTACACAAAAAGGTTGTCTGTTGTTAATAGTGTAGTGATGTATGAAGCACAGATTGAAAGTTACTTTCAAATTTTCTGTTGGTAACCTTGGCAAGGTCCACCACGTGGGGAAATCTTTTGAATTCCAGATCCCATGGATTCCTATCCAAATGACTGGAATTTGAAAGCACAAATTTGTCAAGCAACAGTAAATGCGACCACGTTTCGCAACTGAATCAGACCACATAATTTATCTTATTTGATAGCTGTAGCAATGGAGTTTGAAGGCCATAAATGTAATTTCTCAGAGAGGTGTCTTAGATGGCTAGTCAATTAGCCTACCATTGTGACTCATCCGTAGCTAATAAGTTACTAAATTTGAAGCCAAAGTCCCAGTTATAAACCTCACTACAGATTGACATTTGAAGAGTTATTGTCCTTGTTACTGCCTTCTGCAAAACCATTGTTCAAGCGCCTCTTTGTTCTGTCAGCCGTCAGATTTCGGCAGTGGTGTAATACTAAAGTTCCTAATTGAGAAAAATACAGCACAACCGTTGGAGCCACAGGCAGGCTAATAGGATGCATCTCAGGGGAGGAAGGGCTGGTTGAGTTTTCATGCTTGGTCTCCCTGCTGGCATGAGGCTTGATAAGTGTTTCCGTTGGCGACACGCTCGCTGTCGTAGCTTGTACGCTACAAGTAATCACGGCTTCTCTGGGCGAATGCTTCCCTTTATGCATTTTTTTTCTTCTTCTTGTCAGTTGTCTTTTTTTATTCATTCCCCCTCATTCCCCCTTGTCTTCATTCTCTTTTCTCCATTGGTTTTTTTGTGTTGATTAGAAAACTTGCATTACATTTTGACACATATTATGGATGTAGTTTAGCCACACAACTCTAACAACTTTTCAGATATCCTGTTCCCTCACAAATAGTGTATACTTGACCTTCAAAAATGGCTAGACTCACAAACACACACGATTCTTTACAACATATTTATATATTTATTCATTTAGCAGACGCTTTTATCCAAAGCAACATGAACAGGGCATTGTTCTGTTTAAGGAAGGCATAAAACAACTTACCTACATAGTTAAGTTAGTCGACAGCGTGAAACAATTCGCTGATATGCCGTCAAGACAAGAACAGTTCCTGAATTGTAGGCTACTTCAGTTACAATATATCACAACGTATTGTAGCATGAGCTACGCATAATTCCATTTGAGAGGTGTAGTGTGGCTTTACCTTTGATAGGAGTGATATTCATAAAAGAAATTCACTCAAATTAAAATTGTCATTTGCTCGCCCTCATTTTCTATTTTCTGAGAAACACAAATGGAGGTATTTAGCACAGTGTCATTGCTGCTCTCTTCCATATAGTGAAAGTCAATGATAACGGTGCTTCAAACTGCAACAATGAGAAAGCAGTAACATAAAAGTGGTCCATATGACTCGTACACTGTAAAAATTTGCTTTGTGTGAGAAAAAGACTGAAATTTAAGTTGAAATGCATTGAAAATCTCTATTTTATGACTTGGCAAGTGAAGACTCATTGCAGGTTTGTCGTCAGTGATACCAAATGACATTGTTTTTCGCATCTTATAAATTATGGCTATGCATTTTATGTAGGGTTGTACGATTTGGGGGGGGGGGGGGGGGGGTGGGATTGGATTGTGTGATTTTTATTTTATTTTTTTTGTGTGTGGATAATTTTGATTTGCGATGTTTCAAAAAATTGCTGTGCTTCTTTGTAGGGCTGTTCAATTTGGCTGAAAACGTTGTGATTTATTTATCAATATGTCTAAATTATTATTATTACTAAATAAATATGAATCAAAATAAGAAATATTCATATATTGTAATATTTCACGTAAAGGAGCAGCATGTTCAATCCGAGCTGCCCTTTTTTGGTATAAATTTGATATTTGTCAGGTTAGTATAGCTAGTTTACGATCCTGTTTTCCATGCACATTTGAATTATGTCTTGAAGACATAAAAAGGCTTTCTGCCAGCAAAGAAGATTAGAGTTGTTGAGCTTGTGCTTGGGTTTGGTTGCTGTGTTGTGTTTCCCTCATATGAAGTGTTTCAAGCAAGACAGGCTCTGGCAAATATAACGCTGATATGATTTGCTTTGAAAACAGCCTGCTCTTGAAACGTTTGTTTAGTCTAACTCCAAATCCATGTTGCCTAACCTTGAGCAGCTTCCAGTCAATATGTAAACCGTTGCAAACGCAATGTCCCACCATACTTGAGTGCGTTTGTTCTGATTGCATGTTATACTCCTTGCAAATAGGGATGTGAAAACTACATATTTTCATCGTCTAGTCGGTGGGTTGTCTGAATGACTGGTTGACTACTTTTGACTTTGTTTTCTCTCAGATAATGGAATCCAGCTGACTGACCTCTTTTCTTCTCAGGTACATGTATTGGACCGACTGGGGGGAGGAGCCGAGAATAGAGAGGGCGGGAATGGATGGCACCAATCGACAAATCATTGTACACAACCAAATCTATTGGCCCAATGGACTGACCATCGACCTCGAGGAGCAGAAGCTCTACTGGGCAGATGCCAAGCTCAGCTTCATCCACAAGGCCAACTTGGACGGAACGGCTCGGTCAGTTCCTTTATTCTTTCTCTCTTATTCTAAATTCATCTCCTTGTATTTATTTCCCTTTACCATCCGGTTTGAAGCTGAATGGTATGGAGTCTTTGGCCCAATCTAAACACACCCTGCACGTAGGCCCTGCTCAGGACACCCCCCACCCACCCACCCACCACCACTTCCGCCCACTCTTAACTTGAGATGACCTCCGTGCCATATACCACTGTAACCCGATCCTGCTTGGCATTATGGGTATGATTTGGGCCCCAAAGCCAAAGGGTTACATTTCCTTTTGTGTGTGTAGGATTTTGTAGCAACTTCAATAAAGAAAGGTATGTCGGACCCTCTGCTATGTTGAGATTTGCATTGCTAGTCGATCTGCCAGAGTCGTATGGTCTGACTAGGCCTGTAGTTCAGCAGACGTCATTGAAAGAGGAAGCTGACCTATATCTGGAGACCAGAGTATCATAGAGACGTATGTGATTTTAGTCTTCTATATGATAATTGATTCCTTAATTTGTTTTTTAAATGGCCTTCCATCTTTCATTAAAAACCTAATTACTATAATTATAATTTAATAGAATGTTTTTTTAAAAGACATCAATAAAAATTTAGGTGGCATTCCTATTATTCCAAAAATATTGGAAAAAAAAAGTAATTTTATTTTTTATGAATAAATTAAGTGGCTTTCCTAGTATGCATTATGCAAATACATTTTTATTTTTGAAATATATAAATATATTTTTCTTTTTTAAGTGGTGTTTCTATTCTTATAAAAGACAAATCAATTTAGTGATTTAATTTTCAATGTTGATTATAAAATGTAATTTTTATTCATTTTAATTAATAAATAATTGATTCGTTATTTTTTTTAAATGCCATACCTTATGGCATTTAATTCTTATGTTTAAGTCTTATATTTATTAATCTGAAATGTTTTTTAAGTTATTTTTGAATTATAAAATGTATAGCTGGCTCCCTAGTGAGTGAATAATAAGTGAAATAAGTGAATTCCTTATTTGTCAAAAAAGACCATTTTTTTCATATATATATATATATAATTTTATTAAATAATAGTTATTTTAGTTATAGTTATAGTAATAGTTATAATAGTTATTAAATAATTAATTTTTAAATGCCGTTCCTAGTCATAGAGTTGTCAGTCTAAAAATATGGATTGATTTAAATTATTTTTCAATTATTAAAAATGCTAATTGGTTCCTTCATTCTTTTTAAATCGTATTCCATAATTTATGTAGAATCTGATTTTTTTTTTCTGTTTATTGCATGTTTTTTTCTATCCCTACTGTGTCATGTTTACTTTCAAGTAATAATTTACTCTGCTTGGTTATTCTTTGCCCACATTTGTTGTGTAACCTGGAACACAACGGAGAGCATCTAGTGTAATTCTTCAAAAGGTCAGATTTGAGTGATTGCAGTCGTCTTACAGCTGTGTATCAGTGGTGCGCTCTTTATTCCGGCTTCTTAATGACACACAATCCTCACACAGAAGTGGCCGGAGAACAGACACTTTGTAGGAATACTGCTTACTGTCACATCTTAATTTAAAATGGTTAGCGCTTCTCTTTAAACGTTTACCCTCGTTTGTTTTTAAAATAAAAAGCCCATCGAACACCTTTGTTTAGTCGGTGTTTCAGATTGCTTGCTTCAAACGTTACTACCAAGAGTGCATCAAAAGCTGTAAAAAATCTGGTTGTAATTACGTTTTGAGAACACTTACCCCCACACCACCACCACCCCTCCCCTCATTCTGCTGTTCGTCACACGCCATTAAAATCGGGAGGGTGAACAACATGTCAAGTCTAACTCTTCCAAGCACGCTCACGCACACTAACTCCCCCGACCCAACCAGGAAAATGTATCCACTCTCGACCCACTATAGCTTGATGATTGATGAACGCCATTTGTTGGAATGGCAGCATTATAGTTCTGAACACTTGTTACTTTGATCCGCACCCATTTATTTATGTCGGGTGGTTCAGAAGGTCGTCGTTCGGCCGGACAAACGCGACAAGCGGCGCTCCGATGGACTCCGAAGGGAACTTCACTTAATAAGGGCAGCTGTACAGTTCGAGCACGGGGATGACTCCCTACTAACGACCGAAACAGATGTGGTCTTACAGGTCGATGACAGCCTGATTTGTTTAATTCCCCCCTCTTCTTGGAAAAGAAGTCCTATGGGCCCCCCAAAGGGAAGGGGGGTTCGGTTTCGCATGAGCTCCAGATTTCCTGAAGGGTCTAAAAAAGTCTTCAGTCCTCGGTTGATGTTGTTGGCTTCTTGTTGTGGTCTTAAATTCACGTTCTATATGCCTTTTTGGAAAGGGTAATACCTGTAGGCCTCTTATGTCTTTGAAATTGAGACATGTAGGACAACCAGAGTCCCTAACTTACATTTACTGGAATTATTTCCCATATAAAGAATTCCGACTGGATTCATAAAGCATGCTGGCTTGGAATGCGTGTTCCCTGCTGAAAAGACCAGCTTAGAGCATGACATTCCTAGTTGGTCCAGGTTAGTTTATACACATTAGTGCTGGTTTAACTGTTGAATATTGGTTGACCAGCATGGTTCTGAACTCATGGAACCTGGAAGTGTTGCAGTTTACATGATTTAAAGGGGTAACACACACACACACATAAATTCTGTCATCATATACTGAACCTCATGTTGTTTGAAACTTGTATGACTTTGTCTTCTGTGGAACTGAAGATGTTATGAATAATGTTTTTTTTTTTGTATACCGTCAAAGTCTATGGTGTCCAAAACAATGGAATTTTAATTTTTGGGTAAAAAAATTTTTTTTTTGAAAGTCTCTTATCACCAAGGCAACATTTATTTGATCACAAATACAGTAAAACAGTAATTTTGTAAAATATTTTTATTAAATAAAATAACCGTTATCTATTTTATCATATTTTAAAATGTTATTTATAAATATTTTGCTGTCACTCAATTTAATACATCCTTGCTAAATAAAAGTATTTTCTTAAAAAAAAAAAGAAATAGACCCAAACTTTTGAATGGTGTGATACTTTAAAAGCTTTAAACGTCCAAAACGCAACATGTGTTGGCCATTCGAGCGGGCTGTCTATTTACATATATCTGTTGACGCTTGCAGAGAGGCTGTTGTGGAGGGTTCTCTCACCCACCCATTCGCCCTTACTCTTTATGACGAGACGCTCTACTGGACCGACTGGCAGACCCGATCCATCCACGCTTGCAACAAACACACCGGAGAGAAGCGGAGAGAAATTCTTAATGGCATTTACTCACCGATGGACATCCAGGTGCTGGGCCAAGAGCGGCAGCCCAACAGTGAGTCTACACATCACAAAAACTCTCAACACTTGTTGATAGTTTTCTTTCTTTTTTGTCAAACTAGAAGAAAATACAAATTTTTATCCCAGGGCTCATGAGTTATGTGCTGGCCCTGAGATTCAGTCTGTTTTGAAGCTCTAATGCATATCAAATTTTCACAAATCATGATTGTGAAGGAACAGAAATGTTCAGTGTTTCACTCAGGTCAGGTTCCCTCAAGAGATCCTTGACATTCCATGTTTAATTATTTTTTATTTTTTTTGTCCTTCTTTCAGCACTTACTGTACAGTCTCTTTGTAAAAGTTTCGGCCTTTTGGCCCATGAAGCAATCTGGGTAGAATAGTTCTCAGGGACTGAAATTTTTCAAGTGTCCTGCATTCCACTCTGAACAAATAAACAGCTCCTCGGTGGAGACAGGGAACAGTCCCAGCACGATCCCACCCCCACCTTAGTCTGTGTGTGAGGATGTGGGTGTGGATTGCTTCGAAACATTTAACAGCCTGCAAAAAGCCCACTATAGTGTTTGTTGTGTTGGAGGTAAGATAATAAAGAAAGGATGTAGCAACCATCATGCAAATAAAGGATGAAGATCTAGACCAGTGAATGTTGATATAAACAATATACACAATGAATTTAATATATATATATATATATATACACATACACACACACACACACATTATGTAAACACAAACTTTTATGTCAGATGCGATTAATCGATTTGACCACACTAATTATTACTGTATACATATTTATAAATGATTTATTTGTGTTGCATAGTCAATCGTTATTCTTTGTCCTTAAAAATGTGCCAGAATCAATATTTTGTGAATTTCCTCACATGTCCCTGAACTGTGGACCAGTCATCAGTCAATGTGCTGGGCAGACACCACATCTGCAAACAGCACTGAGAAAGAGGGGGGATAACAAGTGTTGGGTCAGGGCCGCATGTGTTTTCCTGATGGGAGCAGATGCATTTTCTGAGAGGGTATAGCAAGCAGAGCGTGACCTGGTGGAAATGGAAAAACCTGTTACAGGAAATAAAATGTTTTTACTGCCACCTGCTATTGTTCAAGGGTTGCAGTTTTGTTTAGGAACTGAGCAATGCTGCTTTTTCGAATCACAGGTGAAAAGGAAGTTCATGGCCGTTTGATACTAAATACTCCATCATATGAGGAAAATCTCAAGAGTTCCCCAAAAAATAACATCATTTTTCAAACAAGTCCTACTGTAGGAAAGGAAAATCACAAATTAGATCTCTTTATTATATTAATGGTTTCTCCTTGACATAAATGTAATTAAACTTAGACTGTTCCTTAAATCATCTGCTTCTGATATTCTTCAGATTTACCGTGATAACAACCAGTTGATATCTAAATTAAGCAAACCATTACTAAGAACTCCAATAAGTCTCCTAAGCAACCTTTGAACAGGGTTAATCTGTTCAAGTCATGGTTATTTAAAAACCAGACCTGTATTTACAACATAATTCACTCCTCTAAAACATTAATCGCCCTATCTGATGAACTTTCTCAAATTAAGGTGAGAATGTGGTGAAACATTTGTTTTCTGGTCATTTTTTAACCTAGAGGTCATTGCTCTTTGCAGTAATGTCTAATAAACAACGGTTTTATAGCTTTCCTCTTTCCCTGTCTTTGCTCCACAGTTCAAACTCCATGCAGTGAAAGAAACGGAGGCTGTTCCCACCTGTGTCTCCTCTCTCCCGTGCCACCCTTCTACAGCTGTGCTTGTCCAACAGGGGTTAAACTCCAAGACGATGGAAAGACTTGTCGACCAGGTAAAAAAAAACAGATAGATAGATAGATAGATAGATAGATAGATAGATAGATAGATAGATAGATAGATAGATAGATAGATAGATAGATAGATAGATAGATAGATAGATAGATAGATAGATAGATAGATAGATAGATAGAGGAGAATGGAAGGGTTTTGTTGCATTTATAATTGTATTATGATGTCCCTGCTCTCGAGCGTAAAATTAGATTTTTATGAACTGTGGCCTTTCATGGGCTGGTTTTGGTATGAGGATTGGCATACTTTATAAAACATTAGCATGCCGTCCCGCGCAGAAAACCATGACAGAGACTAATGTTTGACAGATGGCGGCCCCTTTGAGTTCACAGTTCAAAATCACTCTCCTCTGATTCAGCAATCATGAATCATAACCTTGTTCCATAACATCTGAACAATTTCCCTCCATTTTCTCATGCTCACAAGAGTTTTAGCCTAGAGTAAGAGCTAGTAAACCTAGTTTGGGGCTTTGGTGGTCCTGTGTCAAGGTAACCATTTAGGGGCTGACCAGGTTAGACCAAGGTTTGTGCGTTCAATTACTCAGGGGTTTGTATACATTCCCACGTCTCCTCACTTCTCAAGGAGTGCTCCTTTGCTCATTGTACAGCGTGTTTCAAAAAGATGGACCCGATTTGAAATCGCTGCATCTCTTCAACCACGAACCGCCCATGAATGAAACTCTCACCTCTTGAAAGGGTGGGGCACATAGTTTCAATGGCTGCCGCTAGATACCTCTCCCAGCGCACAAACAGCCTCTAGCGAGATCTTTTTGAAACATCCTGTAAATCAGTGATAAAGTCATCATGGGGTGCTTGGAAATAAAGGGAATTTTAAAATGGCTTTCCAGGTCTGTAAAAGTCGTGGATATCGATAAAATCATGTGATTTATCTGTGCAAAATGTTCTTTTAAAAGGTGGGTTTAAAAAAAAAAATTGTCAGAATGATTCATTAGCTTCTTGGTCAGAATTCTAACAATTTGCAGTGACTAACTTTTAATGAAAAAAAATCTTATTTCATTAGTGAAAAATAGTAATTATAATAAAGTAAACTGGGGACAACATAAAGATCAAGGTGTATTTGTATGTCCAAAAAGGACTTTTTCACAAAAGTGTAATGCATTTGACTGATTTAAAATGAATGCAATTGTTCTTTTGTTCTTGATGAGGATGTACATTAAGCATTAAGGGCTACTCTAAAATCAGGCGTCACCCCTGGCTTGCTTAAGGTTTTTTTTTCCCAGCCTCTACAGAACAGACTCATCCATTGTATCTGTGCACCCAGCCTGTTAACAACAGACTGCTCTTTTATTAGAAAAAAGTTACATTCACCCCTTCCCAAGTTGCTCTGCCTTTCTACTTGAATTTATAACTCCTTCAAATTTGAGGTAGTGTATTCCCAGGCCAGGAAACAATAAGATGTATTCTTTAAGTCCTCATTCCAGTGGTGCAAGTGGAACATGTAGCTGTCCAGAATTGCGTTAGTGGAGGACGGGGGAGGTTGTCTGGCCAAATGAAACATATTCCCACTGACCTCAGGATTAAGCAACTCTCCTGAAAAGTTAGACAACTAATCAGAACTCAAACAATACCCCATTGTACTGGACTTTGATTAGCGGCAAGGGCACAAGTGGGTCCAGTAGGACAAAGGATTAGCATGAGCAAACGTCCACACCTTGTACTTGTTTAGCTTGGTTGGCTAAATTGAAGGCATTTGTTTTGGTTTTGTCAGACATCCACTCACTTTGATAACATGCAAGGCAGAACGAAGGACAAATTAAAACCAAAAGCAGCATAAAAAGCACATGAAACCCTAGAGGCCCTCTTCTTATTGGTGTCAGCGCTGATGGATGTCACTACTTATTGGGTGCCGTGGACCGCAGCTGGTGTTGTGGGTACTGAAGCATACTCGGTTACAAAGAGAGATTAAATAAGGACAAGGTTGGACCTAATTGCTTCTACAGATTGGGTCTAGACAGATTCTACTATTGGTATTTAAACCTGGCATGCGGTTTTCATAATGGAGCAATGCTATCTTGCAGTGCAACGTCTGCAGGGACAACTCTGCAATTCATGCTACTAATTGCTATTGTCAGCCTTAGTTTTCTTTGACGAGTTGAATTTCTGCCCTAGGCATGGTAGTAGTCTTAATATACATCTTTGTAGACCTTTTTGCATGATGTTTTACTACTTCCTGTCATCCTAATTAATGTAGACAGTGTAGGTCAAAGGCCACAGCATCTCTGGTACTTCAATCTTTTGCAGAATGGACAAAAGAACAGAAGTCTTCATTGTTCTCATGCTCAACCGTATGAGCAAATCTCGATCTTATTTCCAGGGGCAGAACAGGTGCTTCTACTGGCTCGCCGTACGGACATTCGGCGGATATCCCTGGACTTACCTGACTTCACGGACATAGTCTTACAAGTCAGCGACATCCGGCACGTAATCGCCATTGACTATGACCCGGTTGAAGGATATGTCTACTGGACGGACGATGAGGTTAGGGCCATCCGCCGCGCCCGAATTGATGGAAGCGACGCCCAGACTCTGATCACCAATGAGGTCAATCATCCAGATGGAATTGCAGTGGATTGGGTGGCACGCAACCTCTACTGGACGGACACTGGCACCGACCGCATTGAGGTGACCAGACTCAATGGCACTTCTCGACGCGTCCTCATATCTGAGAACCTGGACGAGCCACGAGCCATCGTTTTGGATCCAATAAATGGGTACTAATGTTATGCACTTAATTTAAGGTCATTTCTGAGATCTCTAAGGAGATTCCCTTTGAAATACCTCTTGATTCTGTTGTGCAGATACATGTATTGGACTGACTGGGGGGAGAAGCCCAAGATCGAACGAGCAAACCTGGATGGCACTGACCGGGTCGTGCTGGTCAACACCTCTCTTGGTTGGCCCAATGGTTTGGCCGTCGACTATGTCGCTGGAAAGCTTTACTGGGGCGACGCCAAAACGGACAAAATTGAGGTAAGTCAGCTAAAGTTTTACTTTAAAGGAGAATTGCTGTGCTGTCGTGTCACCTTGTTGCGTGGTTTACTCATTAGATTTCCCTTTACTAAAATATGAGTACCAATTAAATTTGATGGTGTTCCATGCTCAACAAGGAGGTGAATTGAGACTCTTGCTTTGGTGCTGATTGAATAGTCTGAATATGTGGAGTAATGAGAGGGGACCTGAGGACTGGCAGAGAATCCAAGAGCAAATTCCTTGTCTAAAGTGAGCAGCTAGTCCTTCAAGTACTTCCTTGAAGTGATCATTGTGATGGCCTTGTCGAAGGCTCTGTCTCGAAAACATCCAGTTGTTTATTCGAAACTACCATTTGAATTGCACCCCTATCCTGCAGTAAGCGAAATTGCAGAATGATTCTAAAGAGAGAGTCTTGAGACATGATACTTGAGTGCATTAAGTGCACATTCTCCATTGACACTGTCAGTTTATTAAGCTGTTTCGATGTGAAGTGGTTTTGGAATCTCAGACTAGTTGTGTAATATCTCAAAAAAGAGGGACACCAGACATCCGGTCAGTTCCCGAACTTTTGTTTTTTTTCGAAAACCCAACCATTGTGAAACCAAGTATATTTGAAAGGATTTCCTGTGTAAGATTTCATATTTAGATGTTTTTTTTTTTTTTTTTTTAGCATTCTAACTCAGGCCTCAGACCAAACATCTTGATTTATTCTGTCATAATTTCTCTCTGTCTGTTTTTGTTTCCTCAGTGTCTGTTATTTTGTGGCACAGGCTTCTTGGTCTGGGCGTTTTCATGGTTTTGGCATTGTGTAATTAGTCAGCTACCTGTAGGCACAGGTCCCTGGGTGTCATAATACAGAGTTTTTTTCATGCAGTCAATATGCCTGAAAGCCTGTCTTGTAAACACAAAAGAAGCTAAGGAAACATCCCCCTCTTATTTTCTCGCACTCTTTTGCTTTTCATCTCACGCTGACTCAACGATCTTTCCAAACCTGGCTCTCTCAATATATTTTTATACTTTGGTTAATATTCTCTTATGGATTCCATTAACATTTAATTTATTAACAATAGTTAATGCATTAGGTATCATAAACTTACAATTAACAATTTTACAACATTTGATTAGTGCTAATTTATAAATATGTTGTTCACTGTTAATCGATATTTTTCATATTTTATCATTATTCATAATATATCTAAGGTTATTTTTTACAATTTGAAATGTTAGAAATGTGTTTGTATGTGAAGTTAATATTAACCTAGATTAAAATTTTTAAAAAGATTTGTTAGTTGAGGATACCTAATGTATTAACTCACATTAACAAATGGAGTGCATTATAGATCAATCTGAAATTTGTCTGCATAACAGTACAGTCAATTACATGTTATGTAAGCCCATAAACCTGTTAACCTAGGTGTGTGGCAAGTTAATGTAAGAGCACTCAAACTGTGCCTTTAAAGGGTAGGTATTATTTATTGATACACTGAACTCCCAGCGAGCAGCCTGCTTTGGACGTTTTGCCGACAGTCACAGCTAGCAATATGCCATCACATTCACAACTAACCTGTTCGTAACCCAGGGCTTTTTTCAGTCTGCCAGGTTTCCTGCTGTGGCGTTTTAAAGAGAAGGGGCAGTAGGACAGGCGGGCCAAGGGTGAACAGAAGGGCAAGGGCGGCCTAAAAACCACCACGACACTGCGCGAGTCCTTGTTTGCGTGCACTCTGCTTTACTCTCTCTTTGAGATGCGGAGGTGTTTTCTGTGGCCGTCTAAGGGAGGAGCTAGGTGGTGTTTTCCTGTGTTAAAGCCAAGCTGAATGAGTTGAGGATTAGGGCACTCCTGCTGACAGATCGAGTTCGGTAAAAGGCCAGATGCTCATTGAAGTCCATGTGCAACACCTTCTAGAACAATCCTCTCCAAATCATCCCAATGAAGGACTACTGAGCACTGGCACTCTTTAAAGGTGTTTTTCCTATATATATTTTTCCCTATCCAGTGGTTTATATTTTTAGCCTCGTAGGCAGCGCTCCGACATATTGCATGGTTGCGCTTCAGGCTACCCGGGTTTGAGTCTTGGTCCTTTCCTGATCCCGTCCCCCTCTCTCTCTCCCAATTCACTTCCATGTCAGACTTCTACACTCTCCCATCTCAAAGGCAAAAATAAATCTTATTTTTAAAAAACAGCTGTTTTAGCTGAAGCTTGTATACTTCACTGACAGTTTCATCGTATTCTCCACAGGAAAGAGAGTAGTAGGTGTTTTTTGTTAGATTTGCAGCCTAGGTTTTATAATCCGTTCAGCCATTGAGCAACAGAAAGCCCTTATTTCGAGAATCTACGTTTGGATGAATTTGAAATTCAGATGGATTGGTCACTCACCATCACCCCGGAACATTGTGTTGCTCAGAGGTTGCTCTTTTATACATCAGGAGATTTAATGAAGAGTTGAGTTATATTTCATTGAAGTTACAATCTTTTCTCAGATGTTTCTTCCTTACTTTCTTGGGATAAATAAAAATAAACACAAATAAGATATTTATTTACTTAAATAAATGCAGGTATCTTGGTAGATCTGATTGCTGTGTGAGACATTGTTGAGATCTTCTCTGAAACTCTAGAGGAGACTTGTAAGATTACTGTGGCCTTTCTTCTTTGAAGCAAGCAACTGTCTCATCTTAATCTCATCGCTGTAAATGACAAAAATGATTGAGATATTAATGAGCACAGTCACCCAGGGGAGCGTTGTTATTGCTCACGTTACTTTTATTAATCTGTTATGCATTAGCATTTCATTATCAACTTTGTCTTAAATGTTACTCCTTAAGATAAATACAAAAAAAAAAAAAAATTACAAATGAGACAATTGCTCAGATAATTTAGTTCCGAGTTTAGCAGTTATCTTGGCAGATCTGAGTGCTGCATGAGACATTGTTGAGATTCCTGGGGACTGAGGAGTAAAAGTATGTTTAATCTCATTGCTGTAACTGAGAAACAGTTGAGACATTACATAAATCTCATTTGTGATTGTTCTTTCCCGTTGGGATCGTCACCCCAGAGGAGCATTATTATTGCTCGTTTGTTGCTCGGTTATTTATCATATGAGGATCAACTTTGCCTCAAATGTTTCTTCTCAGTTAATTTAATCTAGATGAATTTGATGAGAAATATCATACTGATATTTCTGACTTTTGTTTGCAGACTTCAATATCTTGGCAGGTCTGACCTCAGTTTGAGACACTGTTCTGGTGATACTCTAGACAGGGTTGTTTTCTGAGGAGAAAAATCTGTTTAGCAGAAGACTTCATTCATTTGCTCCCCATTTAATGTCATTAACGTGTAGGAGAAACATTTGAGATATTAAAGAGTCCTCATTCGTGATTTTTATGTTCCTTTGAAAGTGTTTTGAAGGGAGATTCGGGACACACTCTTTCTCCTGCCCTGGCTGAGGAGGGAAGCCCTGTGGTCATGTGTTCAGAACTGACCCCCTGCCTACTCCAGAACAAAAGGCGCACAGAATAGAGGCGAAACCTCGCGGAGGTCCTCCTCAATCCACGCACGCCACCCCACCCCTGCACCAGATGCACTTTTTGGGTGGCTGCGCCACATTCCCCAGGCTCCTAGCAGCTGACAAGTGTGTTCTGTTCTCTTTTCTCACAAGGGTTCTTCAGATTCACCTTAATGGAGGCGGAGGCCATTCTTTAGCTGGCCCACTTACCCTCTGAAAGGAAGAAAAGCCCTTGAAGTGCTAATCGCCGGAGTTTCAGGACAGCCCGGCCATCAGTATTTTCTCATTAAAGATTATGTTTTTTGCATACTGATGCTCGCTTACCTCATTTCAGCTGCCCTTTCTGTTTTGAAAGGGACGATTCTGGACTGCCTCCGAACAGAGTCACATTTACATGTTACTGTTTGCCTTTTTTTTTTTTTACCCGCTTGGCTCCTTTTGGTTGATGGTGGGTATGAGGGAGGGCGGTTCTTTTTTAGGAGCTGAAAACAACATTAAGTTTTAAATGAGGAGTTTTGAAAAGTGCCTTCTGGCATTTGGAATGTGGCTGTTCACTGCCTGAATGGTTATAAATAGAGGAATGGAGGCTTTCGGGCCCTCCTCCCTCCCTCTTGCCTTCTTGCTTTTTTCCCCCTCTTTAACACGGCTGGTGATAGGCCATGTCTGAAAAGGCCTTTTTTTACCTTCCTCCTCAAAAAGTTGAATTGCATTTGGGGCTAGGGACATTTCCATTGTTCATTTTTCATGTTTGTGAAAGGACAATGTAGCAGTTTCTTCAACCTGTTTTTGAGACATGATTTTTATGTTGATGTTTCTGTTAAAATAGTTAAGTTTTTTTGTAATATATGGCTGCCATAATTGGCCTTATAGGGATAATTCGCCCAAATCTTTTTATTCTGTCATCATTTACCCTCATGTCATTCTTTTTAGTCTCTTCTTTAATTTTTCTTCCCGTTTTCTTCCTTTTTCTGAAATAATGGTGAGAATACAAACATTTTTATATATTTATTACAAAAAAACACAACAGAATACATTTGCAACACTTGACGGGTTTTCCATGCAATTGCAATTCAATCTTTAGAGCATCGAAAAAGATGCAAAAGCACCATAAAAGTAGTCCATATGACAGCTGTGTGTGGGAAATACTTATATTTGCATTACTATTAACTGAAACCATTGTATAAATTAGGATTGAATCAATTATTTATTATCTATTTTATTTTCGGTTTTATTATTGGTGATTCATCCCCTTTAAAGCATCACTGCTACAATCACGCACTTTCAAACGGACATCCGAGCTTCTCCTTGTGTGTTCATGAAAGCAGCTATCTTCAAATCTATCTTCACTTCACTCAGTGACCTGATCGCCCAGCAGTTAACAGCTCACTGAAGATAGTCAGTAAATATTGACTTAAATATCCTCGCACTAAGCTATTGACTTCAAAAGACTTGGTATGTAGCGCATTAGTATTATGAACCACTTTTATGATGCTTTCGATAAAA